AGGTATATTTAAAAATTTAGAGTTTTAATAATTGTAAGATTCGAAAGTAATAACAAATGCATTTTATTTAAAAAAACACAGGTCCTTCTCGCTCCCCACCACCTCCAATATTTCGCAAAGTGTCAGCACCAGGCTCTGGAAAACAAAGAAAATCCTCCATTCCCTCGGGTTTATTGCCCAGTCTGATTGTGGCAACGGTTGGAGGAGATACTCCCGACTCTGGCTTAAGGATGGACTTTGCTTTTGGGCGAACGGGTAATTGGATATTTATTTATTTTTTAGAAATAAATTTTTTTAAACTTTAAAAATAATGACAAATGTTGTTTTGATTTTAAAAAGTGAAAGGAAAAGACTTTAATAAAAAAATATTTGTATAGTTCAAAAAACTAATTTTTTAAATGGACAGATCAATTTCATTATTTTATAATCAATTTAAAAAATATTTTTTTTACTCATTTTTATCTTTCACAAATTTTTTTCCAAATTTTAAACCAATTTTTAATCATTTAAACACCTAATTAATTATTCGTACTTGAGTTTCTTTTAACTTGAAGGTGTCGATCGTACCTTAAGTACCTTTATGTAATCTATAATTAATTTAGGAATGCTTTGAAAAATTATTTTAATTAATTATTTGAAATTTTAAATAAACTAAAAACTTATTATTTCTATTTAAATACCAGTAGTTCGAAAAAGTTGTGTGTTTGACGCGCTAATCTACGAAAAGAAATTTTTCTAATCGTTACACAATATAATCTATTCAGTTTAAATTTTATTAATTATAAGTTTTTATTAATTAGGCGTAGGGAGAATTGGTGTTGAATTTGTCATTTATTTTTGTAAGTCAATCTAGCTATAGGCTAATCGTCTGTAGTGTTGATCTGAGCTTTTCGTACCTATTGGTGTACTATTTTTTAGTACCTTTACTATTTATTGTCACTTCAATTGTCACTTCAGTATTGTGACAATCTTTAGTGATCTTTATAATGATAATAATGAATGGTGAGAAATATAATAACAATAAATAGTGACAATCTTTATCACTTCAGTATTGTCACTGCAGAATTAATCTATTATTGTCAACACCCTTAAAGGATTTTATTTATAAAAGAGTTTCAATTATAATAAGGTAAAATTATTACATTAATTAGATAAATCTATAATTAATTTTTTTCTCTTTTAAACTAAAAACATTTTATTAAAATAACTTTCGTGTAAAAAATATTTTTATTAATTAATTATTCATATATTTTTTTAATTTAAAAGGTAAAATTTTTGCCACAATTTTCCTTTAACTGCGCGTATCTATGCCTATAAAAAAATTATTTTTTTAATATTTATAAAAGTATAATTTGTCAATTTTTCTTTCCCTCCTCATAAATATTAAATATAGTTAAAGCTGTCAAATGCAATTTGTAAGTTAAAAATTTATTTTTTTTAAGATAATTTAATTTATTCAGTCAGTAGAGTACTCTTATATGGGTATACCCCAACATACCGCGAGCCCAACCTACCGCCGAGCTATAACTTCGTTCAGAATTGTCGAATCCGTGACACCCTGGTATGGTTTGATGCGCCTCGACAGCTGAATCGAACCATACCAGAGCGTCCCGGATTCGACAATTCTGAACGAAGTTATAGCTCGGCGGTAGGTTGGGCTCGCGGTAGGTTAGCCTGCTCCCCTCTTATATTGAATATTTTTTAAGAGAATTTTTTATTACTTTTTTTCAATCCTTTTTATTTTTTTCTAGATTTAATTTACCTCTACATACTCACTTTCTTAAATTTATTTACTAGACTTCTCTTTTTTATCCAAAAAATTTTTCGGCAAAAAAAGTTTTGTGAGTGGGTTTAATCAGGAAATAAGTTAAATAAAAAGACTTTTTTATTTATTTTTATTAAATTTCTACCCAACTTTAAAAAGCTCTATTTTGTTCTAATACTTCTTTACATACAAAAGAAAGAAATTTAAAAAATATAGATGAATTATAATTTATTTTTATAAAATATTTGTAAAATAATCAAGTAATGATAGTAAAGCAGAGATAATAATAATGTTGCTTCTAAAAAAGGTCATAGATATTAACAGCTAGAAGTAGTAGTCTTATAAGAATAATGTAGCCTTACTGTTACAAATGCATATTATACTATAATATTTCAAATTGTAGTATGTAATTCTATAATTTATAAATTGTAAAACCTCAATTTTACAACTTATAAAACTTTAATTTAAAAAATTATAAACTACATAGTAGTTTTTTATTTTTTATCGTATTACATTTTTATTGTTATTGTTTCCCCAAGTTTTAAAACTTTTTAATTAGAAATTGTAAAGTTTTGCATTTACAAAATGCAAAATTGAGAAACATGAAATTTTCTTATTTTAAAACTTGAAATTTACAAAATATAATACACATAAAACTTTTGTTAATTATAAGAGTTAAAATAGTCCTTCTCATCCATAATTATTCATTTTTTATTTAATTCATTTAAATATTTTGAAATTTTGTTTTGTTTCAGCTCTTTGTCTTTTCCTTTTATTAGCGCGCAATCCTTCCACATTTGTGAGTAATATCCTTTATATTTTTTACATTGCTCTTCTTCAACTTCTTTTTTTGTCTTTTTTTATTCAATTCATTGCTTTCATCTTCCACCTTTAGTATTCTTCAAATATACACCTCCACATACCTCCTACGCCCCCTCAAATAGCATCGGTGGCACTTTTTCTCTTTTTTCGGTGAAAAAGGAAAGCAAAAGCATCCTTTACTCAATTCGAACATTATTCTTCTCCCACATTCCCTTTTTTAACTCTTTTTTTATTTTATATTGACCAGACTTTAAAATATATCGAATTTTGTCAGCACCCTTTCCTCTCCGCAACCACTTAATTTTGGGCACATTTGGACGGATTACCTTCAAAAAATACCCAAACCTCTCTCTTCAACATTAAAAATACTCTTTTTTTAAATTTGGTTCATCCTCCTCAAACAAACACATTTTTTCCCATTTGTGGCCAACCTTCCCAAATTTCTCCTATAAAATTTCTTCGGCATCTGTTGAACAAATAAAGCTGTTTTTGAGGTAAATGGATGGTCTTCCTTTATTTCAATTTTTACAAAGTTCCATCTTCATTTACTTTATTTTCTCCTTTCTTTTGCCGTTGGCATTAAACTCGCATTTTAATTACGCTTTTAATGCATAATGGATATCTCAACTAAATTATTTTAATTTTCTCGAGGAAAAAGTCTTTAATGATTTTCTTGAAATTTTCAAACAATTATTTCTATTATTAACTGAAAGGAAAATTTTTTAACTTAATTTATCATTTGTTTTTATCAATGAAAATTAAGCCAATTTAAACTAGAACCCGGCTCGATACGAGATATTTTTCGATATTCGGTTTCGATATCTCGGAAAAATACGGACCGCTCCCTTTGTACGGGCTCTAATTCAAATACATAGGTTTATGGCTGTACAGATTATTCTACTTAGTAATTTGGATAAGTTGCTCAGAAAATTCTTCGGTTAACCGAAACAAACTCGAAAATATTCAGGGATTCGGTTCGAATCGTTCAACCTTAATATGTCAATTAGAACAAATACATATTAATAGCCTATGAATACCTACGTATTTTCGATTCTTTAAATTTTAACTTTTTTTATTCTAAAATATCTCCCTAACTTTTTTAACATTAAAAATTATGACTGATCAACACAAAACATCCATAACCTCCTGTAATACCCACAAAAATTCAATTTCATCATGTCTCGATTTGCCTGGGATTAGACTTCGTTCAAACTCCTGTAGTGGTCTACCTGGTGATCAACAACAACTAAGGGCAGGTTGCCTCGGCGCTGCTGACTTGAATGCTTCTAATTCAGCATTGGATTGTTTGCCAAGTCAAACATTTGCAAAGGACCCTTTTTTAGAATCGAGTTTGGCTATTCGTAAATTATCTCAAGCTTTTGGTGAGGAAATTTAAATTTTATTTTTGAAATTTTTAGGAGAAAATATTACGAAAAATAATTAATTGAACAAGAAAAAATTAAAAATATTTTTTAAAAATTCAAGCAAATTTTTTTCCCAATTTTTTTATTCATCTTCCATAAATTCTAAAGCCATTTTTGGCAATTTCCTTTAAAGGTGCCATTTTAGGAAAAATTTTTTTAGATATTATTCCCACGTATTTCACTTTCAAAAACCCGGTATTTATTTTTAAAATTCTTTTTTTTTTTATTTAAATTTTTTCGCGTTTTTCCGTTAATGTTCCCTTCACCCTACTTTACATGTTCCCTTCACCCTACTTTACATGTTCTCTTCACCCTACTTTACATGTTCCCTTCACCCTACTTTACATGTTCCCTTCACCCTACTTTACATGTTCCCTTCACCCTACTTTACATGTTCTTTTCACCCTACTTTACATGTTCCCTTCACCCTACTTTACATGTTCCCTTCACCCTACTTTACATGTTCCCTTCACCCTACTTTACATGTTCCCTTCACTCTACTGACTGACTAAATTTATTGCGAGCTTTCTAATTTATTTTTTAAAGGCAATCAAAAATCTAAAAAAAAAAGTTAAAGAGTCTAACAAGGTTATTTTTTGATTGGAAAAAAGAAAAAAAATTTATTTGAATATTTAATTTTATATTTTTTAAAGTTTCCTTCCCTCCGCGTTCCACTTACTCCCTTTTACTCCTTTAAAAAATTTTTTTTCTACTAGTTTTGTCAATTGCCCCTAAATTGTGTGGATATTTTTTCTTTGTTATAAATCCAAATTCGTTTAAAAAAAAGAAAAAAAATTTTTGTTAGCCATCCTTTTTTGACAAATTGCCCGAGTTTTCAATAATTTACTTGAAGCATTGTTTTATTGTTAGTCTGTCAAAAAACGTGTAAATTTATGCAACAATAAAACAAATATTTTTTTAAAAAAGATTTTTTTATTTATCTAGACTTTAAATTTATTTTTTAAAACAAGTTTTGAATTTATTTTAAAGTCTGCCGAGAGTTGGTGGAATATGGGACGTTCTGTCAATGCGCGAGCGGTTTCTAGACTTTTTGAAATAAAATTTTTAAACTTTGGTTGTATTAGGTCATCGAATAATAATTTTTATTCAAACCTATACCTTTACGATTTTTATTTTGTTACAAGAAAATGACGAAATTTTCCTGTAAATTTTTTTTAGGTAAAATAAAAAAAAGGAAGCGATTAATGTTTTGTTTTCGTGTTGAATAACATATGTATTCTCGCAAGAGATTTGAATATTTTATATTTACTTTTTTCAATTTTTATTGGTCTTCATGCTCGATTATGTTAAATAGAACGTCATCTTATCAACTCAAATCCACCTTTAAGATCCAGCCCTATCTTTTGAAGATATTAATGTCTTCTTATTTATCCCAACCTTCACATATCCCTCAAGGCTAACCATACCTTTGAGTGTGGTAATTAAGAACGTCAACTTGTAAAAACTGGAAAGCCCACTTCACCTCTTTGAATTAGGTAACCTATTATTCATCTATTTCCTCAATATTTTAGCCAAAATAATTTTTCAAAATCTTATCAAAACTAAAAATAGAGAAATTGAATTATTTTTTTACTGCGCAAGTCTGAATAAAAAGGGATTTTTGTTATTATTTCATGTTTTTACATGTTTTGCTTTATTTTTCAATAGAATATCACACACACAGTGTTTGTCCTTTTTCTAAATCAGTGATTTTCTCTTGTACTTTTACTTATTTTTACTTGTTTGTGATTAAATCCTCCTCCTTTCATTGTGTTCCACTTCTCGTCCCAAATTTCATTCTCGCATTTTCCAACCCTTTCTCCCCCTTCTTTCTCTCCCTCTCTCCCTTGTCGATCCTTGCCCCAACTTTTTAGATGAAAAATAAATCCTTTTCATTCAATATTTCCCTTAAACCCCCCTCCCTTCTCCCCAAATTTTTCGACAATTCATCCCAAAAGCATTTTTCGAGGGTTGTGGTCGAGTTGTTCCTCCTCTTCTTTTTTCTACAAAAAATCAGGCAAAAAAAGTTACATCAACTAGACCATTAACAACAATAATTATAACTCTTTCCCCATCCCTCCCTAGTCCATTTCCGCCACCAACCACACACAACAACTTTCCCCACACAATCAAAACCCGTATAATAACTAACCAAAAAACCAGCCTCACACATTTTCAATCAAAAAATAAAAATAAAAATATTCTAATCGCCCTTCAACACAAAAATCTCTTTCCTCTCCTCTCTATTACACAAAAATAATTAATTAATAAAATTAATGTTGATGGGGTAATGTCATCCAATAATAATACTAATGACATGGCCGCAGCCATACCACCCTCATCAAATCTTTCTTCTTCTTCATCAAAATTATCATTAGCAGAAAATTTACAACAAAATAATATTTCTTCAATAATAACAACCTCCAATTCCCCTATTTTAAAAAAATCAGCGTTAAAGCTGCCTTCTACAAACCCAACTAGAAGAAAGTCTACAACAGAAGACGATGTTCTACGCTCCCCCAGAAAAGTGTCCTTCTTCCATTCACTAAAGTATCATTATACCCCCCATGAAGAAAGTTTAAATGGCCACCATTTACCCCCAAAAATCGAACAAATTTATCATGGAATAGAAGACGAGGAAAATGAAAAAATGGATGGAGAAGGTGAAAAGCCCCCTTCAATGGCTGTTGAAGTTGATGAAATCCCTTTAAAGCCAGATTCTATTGCTTTTGCTCGTTCTCAAAGAAGGCACGAGTCACAAAAAGCTTTGCGTGAAAGAAGACAGCGAAGAAGTAAATGTATACGATTGATGGGGCCGTTGGTGTTTTTCTGGAATAATCGAGGGAAAAAGCGTGAGGATTAAATATAATTTTAATTAGATAAAATATTAGACTTGCGCAACAAAATATAATTTAATTTCAAAAAAAAATATTGGTTAAGATTTAATAATCTCTCGAATAGCCAATCTCTCTTCATTAATCTCAACAATTTTCTCATTCTCTAAAAACTGATAACTGTGATGGGCCACCACGCTCAGGGCTGCACGCAGTTGATTTTTGCGTGAAATTACGTTTTTTTGATTTGCGGTTGCGGAAATTTTTTTTTCAGTTGCGTGCAGCCATGGCCCGATTCCCGAAGATTATGAATTTACTTTTTTATTTCGGAATAAAAAATTATTTTTTAAGTGTCGATTCTTTAAGCTTATTCATTATATTCTAAAAATAATTTCGTTTGGTTCAATATCCAAATTAATTTAATCATTTGACAGCAACGTTCTTCTGCTTATTACCTTTAATTTGACTTAAAAGCTTAATCTTTCATGAAATATTTTTTTCAAATTATTTAACCAAATACTTTCTTCTTTAAAAACATTCACACGTGCGCATGTCATTAAACATTGATTTAATTTAAAAAATCTATTTCTACTCACACGTATTTTATAAATAGAAAGAGACTGGTAGTTAGTGTCAACCAGTCAATAAATATGTGAGCAATTGATCGGCTGGTTCCTTTTCTTCTTTCCTTTTCATTCCGTTTTACTACTTCCGCCCCTATTTTCACGCACACCTCTTCCTACGCATTCAATCTCTTCTTCAACTTTTCTGCTCATCCTCTTGTTTAGCCACCTCTCCTTTTTCTTCCTTCCCGTTTTTACAAAATCCTCTTCATCCCTTTATTGCTCAACGCCTGAATATTATGCTTTTATTTATCCTTTCATAACCCCTCGGCTGGTCGCTGCAGAGGAAGACACCCCTAGTAGGGACGGAAAGACTTTTGTTTGCTCAACTGATTTTTACACAACCTCCTCCCTTTCAATAATATTCTTTTCTAAATTTTATTTTATTACTATCGCTTCCTTTTTTAGATATGGCCACCTAGCTCAATCGAATAGCCCAAAAAATGAGAAAGGGAAAAGCAAAATCCTAGTAGTAGTTACCCAAAACTCTTCCCCTTTTTCTTCAATTTCCAACCCTTTCCACAGCTTTTTTTCATTTTCTTCTCATTTTCCGGTTGTTCCCCTTCCCCCTTCCCTTTCCCCATCCCTTTCCCCCATTTTCCTTCCCTCTTCTCCCCCTATGTTCCTTACGCACTACCCCCTTTTTGTTCCTTTCACCCTACCAAAAGGGACCACAGTGCCCAATAATTGCCTTTCCCAAAAGGCCAATTCGTTGCTTCTCCCTTAAAAAAGCCTTTTAAATAAAGCACAAAAAAACTTTAAATTTGGGTAAATTGCTAAATCGATTACAGTTTTCTAAACTTTTAGCTCCCCAAAAATTTTATTTTTCACAACCAACCCGATTATAAATTTATTTATTTTTTGCTTTATTTTTCCTCCGTATAATTTTTTTTATTTATTTCTCTTTTTAGGAAGACTTAAAAAAATATTTTCAGAACAAAAGTATACATACATTGTTTAACCAAAAATAAATAAGATAATATTTCATAAGTTTAAGTATTGCTACATTTTAAATAGGGGATTAAAATATTTAATCTATACATTTATTTTTATGCGAATAGAACAATAAATAATATGTTTTTGTAAAAAATCAAAACATTCTCAATTCTCTTTGTTTTCCTAAACTTTTGCTTCTAACTATGTACTTCTCCCTTCACCTTTGGAAATTCTGGATATAACAATTGCAGTTGAAAAAAAATAAATTATTTATTGATGATTTCAATCCCGTTTAATTACAGAAATCATTCTAACTTTAGGGTTCGAAAATAGTCAACTGACACTAGATTACGAACTATCGTTCGTAATTGCCGTAACACTCCCTTCCTGTACCTCTCCATGTTCCCCGCTTTTAAAGATTTTTAAAAAAAGTTATAAAAATTTTTTAATGATCAAAGCATTCCTAATTTTATTTATCCAACGCTACTTTGCCAGTACCTCTCGATCTCTATTTAATCCCATTAAAAAGATTTTATACTTTACTCAAACCCCAAGTTTGTATTTTTTTAAAGAATGCCTTGGGGCAGTCACAATTCCTCTTCTACATCCTCCTCTTCCTCAACAAATAAAAATTCTTTAAAACAAAAACAACAAGAACATTGTTGTGTTGAGAATTTAAAGAGTATAAATAATAATAATTCTAAAGAAAATCTCCAACATTGTTAGTGTGTTAAATTTAATTTTAAAAATGAAAAATATTTTTTGCCTTAAAAATTTTTTAAAAATATTTTTATAAAATTAAGAATCAATTTAAAATTAAGGCTATACTTATATTAACTCTCGTTATAATTGAGCTAAAGTTCTACTCATCTTTAGAAACCCTAAATTTACTTAATATAAAATATTTTATTTTAGAATCGTTTTAAGTAAAGTTATAACGACAAAACTATATTTGTGCAGGTCATGGTTTGATATGTATTTTTGAATGTCAATTAGGTTAATTGACAGATTATTTGGGTTGGATTTGAAATATTACTTGGAGATCCCCGTCTTTGTGTTCATACGTGGAGTTAAGTATTATACCTTTGTAATTATAACGAGAGTCAACTAATAAACTTATTAAAAAATTACCTTTTTCTTAATTTCTAGCCCAACGTATTGAGGGAAAAGCTTTTATACGTCGAGGAGCTTTAAGGCAAAAGAATGTACATGAAGTTAAGTTAGTTTTTACAATTTATTTTTTAAAATAAATTTTTAAAAATTATCTATAGACTACATAAATTCATTGCTCGCTTCTTCAAACAGCCAACATTTTGCTCACATTGCAAAGATTTTATTTGGGGATTAAATAAACAAGGATTTCAATGCCAAGTCTGCACACTGGTTAATCTTAGTTTTCTTATAAATTTAAAATCTTTGACTTACCCAAAACACTCTACTTATATCAGTTAGAAAGCCTCTGGGATATCTGGTCACCTAGGGTATCTGGAATTGTTTAAGTAAAGAAAGAGTTTAGCAAAAGTTTAGCCACCGGGCAGGATTCGAACCTGCGACCTTCTAATTGATGTTGCTAGGCGCTTTCGCTCACCACTTACAGGAGCTCTACGACTGAGCTACCGGGACAACGAGAGTCCTTACTCAAAGTTCTACGATGATAAATCTCAGTCCTTACTGAGATCTCTGTGAGGTCATCCAGGCCATGTGAAAACATCCAAGAAAAAGATAGAATTTAGGATAACTAGAGGAGTGATAATTGGAAAGATCTTCTGTCAAATGACTCTATATCTCCCACTTCTCCAATTCCTCCATTTTTCAGGTTGTCCATAAAAGGTGCCATGAATTTGTAAATTTTGCTTGTCCTGGTGCAGATAAGGGTGTTGACAGTGATGTTTGTATTTTTAATTTAAATAAGAAATTTTTATGAAATTAAAAGGACCCCAGACAGCAACACAGATGGAAAGTAACTACAGTTTCTTCCCCAACATTTTGTGACCATTGTGGATCTCTTCTATATGGACTAATCCATCAAGGAATGAAATGCCAACATTGTGACCAATATGGTGGGGATTTTTATATGTTTAAATTGAGTTCCGTTTTGAGCATTTGGGGTCGAAAGGAAGTGGATTTCTCACAGATTTAATGATTCAGCTTGATCATGATACCTAATTCCAAACAAAAATTAAAGTAATGAAGAATTGCGTTGCTTGGGGTATAAGGAATTGTAGGGATGAATCTTTAAAAACCCTCTGATTTACTCAATATAAGTAGTCTAAGTACCACTTTTATATCAAAAATTTTTATCAAAATTTTTGATATAAAACCGGCACAAAAATTCTTTACAATTATTTTTCAATAGGTTTAAAGGGAAATTAAAAATTACACCGTTTTCAATAGGTTTAGAGGGAATTTAAAAATTAAACCGATGCCTAACTTGCGAGATCGGACGGGTTAGCACGTTTGCAACGCGTTATGATTGTAATCACAGTAAAGCTCTAATATTAATATAAATAGAATATGAAAGAAGTAGTCTAAGTATGAAAGAAGTAGTCACTCTTTTAATCAGAGATAATTTTTGGAATAAAAAAGCAACAACAAAAACCAACGGTATATAATAAAATTAATTTATTTTCAAAGAAATTCATAAAAAACCACATATCAAAAATTACAATATAAAAAACGGCACTAAAAAGCGGCACAAATATATGTTCATCCTAAATGCGGAATCAAAAGCAAACATTCCCAGTAAAAAGCATTGACGGGTTTGTTTGTATTGGAAGATATGGAGTATATAGTTATGCAGTATATTTTTATAGTATGGGGGTATAATTTTTATCGGAATGTATTGGGGGGTAAACGAGGAAAAATTAGAAGAAATCTATACTTTTAAAAGATTTTTAACAAAAACTTTTAAAGATTAGCTTTTAACGTGGGATTTGCTTGTAACTGTATTTTTTTAAATATATGAAAATAATGACAACAAATAAGGTTAAAAATTCATTAAGTTTATCTTAGAACAATTTATTTCATTCAAACAAGCAATAATGAAAATTATCTATTTCTAATGATTTTATATTTCAATTCAAATATTCAAATTTATTAAAAATCATTGAAAATGTTTTGCATGTTTATTTTTTGCCACTATTATGGATATCTTATAAACTAAACTATTTTATTCAAAAATTCTTAGTAATTCCCGAAAAACGAGTTTCAAAGCTGATGTATTTTTATTATCTACCTAAAAATTCTTACTTTTTGTAAAAATATTTTTCAATTTAATTATTTTCTAATGAAAATTTGCTAAAGTATTTTTTAAAGTTCAGTATTGCGATGAAAATTTTATCTTTTATTCATTTTTTACCTATTGATGCATTTTAAAAGGTTTTTCTCAAACTAAATATTCGATCGTTGTAATAAACATCAAAATTTTTATTTATGTTCCTCTACTTCAACAAAGTTCAAGCACTCGATTGGATAAAAATATTCATGTGTTCCTCCACCTGCAACACACACGAGAGGCAGATGAGGATATAAAAGATTGACGCAGTGTCGAACATAGTAAAATTGTCTTAAAATATATTATAATAAAATGAATAAAAACCTTATTGTTATTGATAAATATCCTCGTAAAGCAAACATTCTATCCGCGCCCATATTAGTAAAATTTTTGGGATACACTTCGATAAATCGATTTTTAAGATGGTTTGTAACTAAAAATCTCTTTCCTGGAACAATGCTGCTTTGATTAAATTTCTTTTGCCCAATTCCTGTGACATCTTCATTTGCAAGAGATTGTATGAATTGTAGATTTTCGGTGTATTTATTTCGCATTTCACAATTAAGTAATTCAGGTAAACATCCTCCATTGAATTGGCAGAGTATTTTGATTAGCGGTGTAATCTTTATTCTATTTGAATTTATCGATAATTGCTCCAACATTCCTGTAGTGAGTTCTTAATTTTTAATATTAATTTGCGTAATAAATTTTGTTTACCTAAATTGTTTGTCATTTTTATCAAATCTGTATTAAATAACCAAATCTGAAATTATCTGTTAATTGGATTAATAAAAGTATATTTGTATTAAAACATTTAATTAAATAAAATTTTTAATAGAATTTATTCAGAAAATATCGGATCAATAAGTGGTTCGCCTCTGTATCCATAAGGATAACAATCAAAATTATCATCAACTATTCCTTTGTCGTAGATTGGAGCATATCGTCTAAATTTTGGAATTTATAATAATTAAAAATATCCATTACCTTTTTTGAGATTTGCTTGTAACTTCACCTCTTCGCCAACTTGGTTGAAAATGTGTTCTCTCCAGTATGACAGGTTCCTGATCCTCCCCATACGCTTCGACCATTTTCTAAATATTTTTTTAATTTGGAAAACGATTAAAAAATAACCTTGAATTGTTTAAAGTCTAGAGGGGAGTCAACTTTGTCCCAGCAACCGCGGCATTTTACAATAAATTTAATTTCACCACTATTTTTGTGCTTCATTTTCATTGCATACTGGAAAATATACGATTGTTAAAAAATATTTGTATACCTGCTTGCATCCCCCAGTATAGAATGCAATGATATTCCATTCTCCATACTCGCGATCCATCATACCAAGCATCTCCCCCACACGAAAAGGAGGCGTTTGTTCACGGCGATGCAAATAAAAGCAACTATCAGTGTCAGTATACAACAGCTTGCAATCTTTTTCTTTTACAATTCTTTCCATATAGTCATATAGCATTATTCGGGCTGTTGCGGTTGTAATCAACGCAATTGCAATATTATATTTGTCATGTGGGCGTACAAATTCACTTCGATGCTTGTATGGAACCGAAAAAAGATTTGGCGCCAACATCTCTACTGCACCAAGTTCAAGTTTTGGATCATTGAGAACGTTATGTAATTCAACAGGAGAGCTAGTTATACAATCCTGAAAAATGTCAGTGAAAAATTGAAAACAAAAAATACCTGAGATAAATTACAGCGCAATGCCCATCGACCCCACCTAATTTAAATATTACAACAAATTTGAACTTTTTCTCACATTGAATTGTTGCAAGTTTTTGCGAGGTAACGCATCCCTTCGTTTCTTTCAATTCGCGAAGGATCTAAATGTATTCCATATTCTCTCTGGTTTCTTTCAATAAATTCTCTTTTCCGCTGATCCTCGATCTCAGGATTGCCAGGGACTAATACACTACTCGGCCAACCGCTTGCCTAATAAAAGTTTATAAATATGTGAAAATATTTAAAACCTCAATTTTGAGACGCATCATATCCTGAACATAAGGCCGTAATAGTTTGTCTGACCACTGTTCCCAATGATAAATGCTGTATACTTTAGTGACGCGGTATCCTTTCCTCAAAGCAAGTTCAAGCTCTACTGTACAAGTTGTACTAACAAATCCTCGTTCATCATCTTTGTGTCGACACCATTCATGACCTATTTCCTTGCTATATTTACGGTTTGCACGTATCGCTAAACCAGGCGATGCTTCCACGGCACAACTACGGCATAGATGAAAGATCTGCATTTTAATGGATGAAAATTTTTAGAAAAATATTTACCAATTTTCCATGAATATTTTCAGGAATTACTGGAAGATATAAATCATCTGGAGGAATTATAAAAAGCTTGAAAAGTCCTCTATATGGATGCATATCTTCAGGTTTAGTCCAATTTACATCTTTATTTAACTCCAAAACTTTTGGATGTCCTAATTAATATAAAAATGAATTTTATATTTAAAGTTTACCAATAGGATAAAATGCATAAAAGTTCACTGCAGGATATAAGCTGACAACATCAAAGCATGAGATCTCATAATCTTTCTCAAAAGTTCCTTCTAGATCACATTTAAACGAAAGAGGACCTGTTCTTCCTCCCTTAATTTAAGATTAAAAAATAAAATTGAATAAATCATACATGAAAAGCATCCCTAGGGTAAAGAGGGCCAATATCTGGCAATTTATCAAAGAATCGAGACATTTCAGGACACTCTCCAAGGTCCTTCATTACTTCGCATTCCCAAAATGTACTAGTCCAAATTCCAACTTCCTTCAACAAACGAATACGTTCTTCAAGTTTATCCTTATTATACAAGGATGTCTTTCCATTTAAACATATTTCGTGCGGGCGATATAGACTAAAACAATTTATTTGAAATAGAATGTTAATTACCATTCATGTCCGTGCCAGGCACATCCTAGAAATTCAATTGCTTGGTCCCATCCTCCATGAGTGCTTTTAATATATCCATCAAGGCGTAAAAGACTTCCATCTGAAACACGTATTCTTTTTTCTCCCTCTGGGCTCTCTCGATGTTGAATTCGAAGCTCTGTTTTGTGTGAAAGCCAGTAAAGAAATTTTAAAGCAATTTTAGATTGGTTTGTATCTTTATGATATCCATTATCGGGAATAATACCCATTTGGTCCTTTTTCAAATAGTTTATACCTTAAAAATGTTTATTAAACTTTAACGGTTTAAAGCTTACAAAAATGTCGAATACAGGCGCTGGCTATTGTCATAGAATTAACAAGTACGTCGTCGCGCTTGGAAGGCTCTGCAGCTAGTTCAATGAAAAGACGTTGAAGCTTTACGAGAGCATGAGCAAGAATACGAACGTCTTGTTGACAATATTCGACAATTTGTTCACGAAGGCAAAACGGTTCATTTTTATTTTCTTCATACCATTTTTCGAATTTTTTTCTTCGCTCTTTTCCCATTGAATCGGGGTAATAATATTGTTGATCAGGTAATCCTTTGAGACGCACATCCATATTCTTATTAAAATTCCAACCATGAGGGAAAAAGGATTTTCCACCTTCATCGATTTCAAGTGCAAGAGCCTTTGGTAATTGTTCCAATTTAAGCATCGTCCAGTTGAATGAGTCACGAAACGAAATATACGGAAATCGTCTTCGTTGTTTCTTAATTAGGACCTCATAAAGCTTGTTTCCCGTTCTTGTTATTTTTGGCTCAATTCCAAAATGTTTGATTAATTCTCCCAACAGCAGATGCATATCATATCGACTTAAATTAATAATAAGAAAATGAAATCTAATTAAACAAACCCTCCATAATGAGAAATAGCATATGTTTTCCCAGATCGCTCATTTCCCAATCCATTAATCAACCAATTCAAAAATTCGCGCAACGGATTTAAAAAATCTGCAGCTGTCCAAGTTCTCATTCTAGGCATGTTAATACCACAAGTTTTGCAGAAACCAGTTAACTCATTTTTCCAATTATCATTGCCAATGCATCGAGAACACATCAATAATGCCTAGCTTAATTTATATTTTAATATCTATTGAATAAATACCGATACACAGTTTACATGATGTAATTGATAATTTTCATCATCTGTTATAACATTTAAAGGGTTTAATCTATCTTTTTGCAATTGATCCCAATCATCTTTATTTCTGGTCGGAGATATTAGTTCACATTCAAAATCAAAGGGAATCTGAAATGAATAGATTTATTTAAAATAACCGTAAATACCAATAGATATTCATTATTTACTTTTGGTACAATTGGTTGCACATAACATTTTTCTTCTCGTTTGTGAAACGAACGGCATAGAGTACAAAAAAGCATGAAACAAACATGCCCACTGTTGTTATCATCACTTCCATCTGTAGAATCGCTTTCTGATCGTTGGGCATTCCCTTTGGCTCGGTAAATATGTCCGCATTTCTCACACCCAAAAATTTATTGGTATTAAATTATATATTTGAATAATACCGTTTAAATATTTTGCAAATTCCTTTCTCTTTGTGTCTGTTATAGCAGTCAGGATTTTTAAATGTATTTGCACACTGTCCACATTTGTTTGAATAACCTTTGACTAATTTGCATGGGAAACCAAATCCAACCCCGCAACATCGAGGGCATTTAGCAATACATTTATAACGATGTGCAAACTTCTTTGTGTATGGAACTTCACAATCAATACAATAATATGACCCAAAGAGCGCATTCAGATTTCTAATTCCATAAAAATGCCTATCCTTCAAGTATAAAGTAATTTCATGTTCAGCCCTTTCTACTCCTTTCCAAATAGGACGCATTCTTCCATACTCGCCGAATACTGAAATTCTATATTTGCCTGGGAAGAGGATATCTAATAATTTTTGAATCATTGGAACATGTTCTTCAACTAAATATTCTTTTGCATTGGAGGGATAACGAATTCTGTTTTTTAACATTTGATGAAGCATTTCTTTTATCAATAATTCGCGCCTAATTTTTGCATTTTTGTTCTGACCGCTTACAAGCCGTTGAAACTTAACTCTGTCATATGCTGAATTTGTCATATTTACATGTTGTATTTTAAGTTGGACAGCAAGAATAAGACAATGTTTATTTGCTGGGGGATTGAGATTTTCGTTGTGTACCTATTGTTAAAATTTTTATAATGTTTGAAATAAAACTTGTATAAGGTTGTTAATATCCACTCCTTGGTGAATTTCTTTCGACTTCCTGCCCATTCCTTCATGACCTTTTTTTATTAATTCAAGAGCCTCATCATGCGAAGGACCCAAAACAATCTAAACAAGAGTTATTTAATTATTAACGAATGTTATTCACCTCAATATGTATAGGCTGACTGTATAGAGAAGGTCTGCCCATGCGTTTCCCACTTTGATCCACAGCATCAAATTGTTCCATAACAACCTGCGGAGTGTTCTGAGCAAGACCTCTATATGGAATTTGAATGGGTTTTTCAAGAACAGAACTTCTTATTATGATTGAACACTTCTCAGATTTTGCACCTGAAGTGTTGTCGGCCTTTGCAAGAAAGTGATCTACCAAATCTCCTAATAGTTTATCACTGCCCTCTGGTGCGTCATCGACATTCCTAACTGTAAATACAGTTCTAAAATGTTTGTATATTCAATTAAAAATTTTATTAAACCTGAAAACACCAATCTTGAATTTTGCGCTTTTGATGTTCTCTGACACCTCTTCACTGTAAAAATGATTGATTGGAAATTCACCAAGATTTCTTTTCATCTATTTTTTAAATTAACACACAAATTAATTATTTAAAATATAACTGCGAAATAAACGCTAAATTAAAAATGAATGAATTTTAGATTATTTATTCTATGAAAATAATGTTTAAACAAATCACAATAATTTTCACCAATCTTCTGTCTGCATATCCTCGTTGTTCATAGCATCTTCTGCATGCACCATATTGGTATTCCCAGATGTGCCTTCACCATCCTCGTTAATGTTAAGCTGCGACTCCACATGTTTTGTAATGTCGTTCATTATAATAACAGGCGAATTATCTAAAATTAAAATTAAAAAGTTACAAAATATAAAACACCTCGTTTCATGTATCTCGCTGCATAGCAACAAATATCATTGGCCGTTTCCAAATCGATTTGCTCCCAAAATGGGCTATTCGGATTCCCAAGTGCCGTATACAACTCGTTCATTACAACATCGACAATTGCCTTGAAAATATTTAATTTAATTTTCAAGTTTTTAAAATAACTTGTCTTCCCAAAGCATTTCGTTGCTTCAAAAAGTATTCGTGTATGTTGCCAATTGTAATTTGAGGAAATTGCTTTCTGTGATGTTTAATGAATGCCGCATACAAATCCTCTTTCAATTGTTTTTCATCTAATTCAATTCCCATTAACACTTCAAGTTGATGAGCTAATCGGATGCGTTTTTCCTTGAGTGCCTCAATAGCAACTTCAGCCACATGTCGATCCATCTGAAATATTTCTTTAAAATATAAACGAAATTAATCAAACATTTTTCCAAATCCGTGTTGTTATTTTCAGCTAAAATATAAGTTAAAAAATGATGAATTGAAAATATAAGCGATAAAACGCCGTTAATAGAATTCAAAAAATATAGAAAATTTTATTCAACAAAAATAATGTCGTAATTATTTATTTTTAGTGAATGTGTTGAATAAATTATATGTTTTCTGTTGAAATTCTTTGTTTGCAGACAAACACATAGGACACAGCTGAATATTTATATTAATTAGTTTTTTACTTTTACTCACAATAAAGTTCAATTCATACTTAGTCCCACGTTTTTGTAGAAATAAGTCGTTTGCTAAAGACTTTTGTAGACGACAACAATATTCACACTAAATTTGAAAATAGTTTTTTAGTTTTATAAAAATATACCTGATGAAGTATCCAACAAAATTTAAATAAGCTCAAAAGCTTATTATCATTTCCAGCGGCAATACTTTCTCCACGCCGCGTGTATAAGACACCGGCAACTTAAAAAATAATTATCTAAAATTTTCATAATTATATACTTTTTTCAAATCTAGATGTTTGTTGAACAGCATTATCTTTTTTCAATAAATGTCCTTTAAAAAATATTATTTTAATTTTTTAAATAACAATCTACCCCAAGGTCCTGAATAATACATCCCCAGCAGAATATTTTTGTCCAAATCCTCAGCGCACAATTCGATTGTAAGAATTGCATTATCTGAACTTCCGGATTTGAACAAGAAGTATTCTCTCTTTTTCTGATCCTCGCGACATTCATTACACTGGTGTATGAATAGTCCTTTGCGAGGCTCCTTAAGAATTTGTGCGCGATTGAGAACACCCTCTGGCACTAAATTCATTGTTCGTTGTTGGCCTGAAATTTCTTTATTTATTAAGTTAATGTTTACTAACGCTCAGATTTCATTTTCTTGTACTCTTCCTCATTATCGCCTAAATCAACGATTTCATTGGGGTCTGGATTGTCAGAATCATCCTCTTCATCGTCATAGTCCATCATTGCTTCAGTCTCAATATTCTCTTCATTTTTGTTATGTTGAACATTTGACTTAATTATAAAATATTAAAATCATTATAAAAATTTACCTTAATCCCCGCATCAAAAGGAACGGCTCTTCCTTGTAGCTTTTTTGTTGATGCAGGCTTAGAGATAGTATTACTTGCTTTTGCAATTGAGCGCTTACGTCGTGCTTCAGCTGCTTCTTTCTTCTTTCGCTGTTTAATTATAAAAGCTCGAACATCTTCAAGTTCAGAACTCGATATAGCTAAAACTTTTGTTAATTTAATCTAGAAATTTAAAAAATACCTTCTATAGGTTTTATTTCTGTAAGCACTTTTTCATTAATTCCCTCCTTATCAATCGATTCTTCCATTGCTTCTGTAACTGATAAGAATGCCATATGATAATTAGCATTTAGTAAGTTTATCATTTACCTTTATTGTTTGCTCGAGAGTTTTCCATTTTCCAACAAGTAATAAAAAGCTATTACAATAGGGAAAGATAGCTGTAAATAATTTAAACGTAATAATTTGAAATGACAACTTTAAATGGGTGCGAGTAACTACCTAATGAAAAATGTTCGAAAAATATAACTGCCCGAGGCAAGATACAAAAGGATCGAAATTTAAAAATTTAAGAGGTATGTTGACTGTTTGAAAAATTTTTTAAAGTATGAGGTGTAATAATAATTTAGTAAATAATTTTACTAATTTAATAAATAGATGTGGGGGCAGTAAGATGTATGAATGTTGGGGGTTAACCAGCTTGCCATTCCAAATCACCAAAAGGGGGCGTGGCTTAACAAAAATTTAGCATTATTAATTATTGAACTTTCACCTAAAACCTTTATTTTTATAAAAAATTGGGTCAAAAATAAAGAGATTAATAAAGAGTCTGGAAAAAAAGATATTTTAGAAAAGATATTTTATATTTTATTTTTATTTTATATTAAAATATTTAAAAAATTAGATAAAAAAAGATATTTTAGACTAGATATTTTAGGCTATTTGGGAGTTTTTTATAAGGATAATTCGTTTCAGCGCGAAGCGAAAATTTTGAAATTTGAAAAGATACGAGGTCAAATTTCTTCCATTTCAGTGATGGAGGAGGGTTAACTACTTAAAAAACGTTTAAATGTATGAGGTGTGGGACTAACTACTGATTGAAATATTTTAAAAACTAAGGGTAGTTCTACTACTTGAAAAATTTTTAAAAAGGGAATTAACTACTTATTGAAAAATTTTTAAAAATCTTAGAGTTAGGGGTTAATACAGAGGAAAATTTTTAAAGATGACGCATTATTAACTATTGAACTTCTACTATTGAAAAAATTTTAAATTATCAGGGGCGGGATTTGAATCTAAAATATATTGAAAAGTATGAGGGTTGGGATATCCACAGGTAAAATTGAGTTAAAAAGTGCTTAGCATTTTTTAACAAGGCTGAGTGATAGGGTTACTACTTATTGGAAAATTTAAAAACATATGAGGTGGGTGGTAGGGTAACTACTTATTGAAAAATTTTTAAAAGTGTGTGGTGGGTAGGGTTACTACTCATTGAAAATTTTTAAAAATGTGTGGTGGGTAGGGTTACTACTCATTGAAAATTTTTAAAAATGTGTGGTGGGTAGGGTTACTACTCATTGAAAATTTTTAAAAATGTGTGGTGGGTAGGGTTACTACTCATTGAAAATTTTTAAAAATGTGTGGTGGGTAGGGTTACTACTCATTGAAAATTTTTAAAAATGTGTGGTGGGGGGTAGGGTAACTACTTATTGAAAAATTTTTAAAAATGTGTGGTGGGTAGGGTTACTACTCATTGAAAATTTTTAAAAATGTGTGGTGGGTAGGGTTACTACTCATTGAAAAATTTTAAAAATGTGTGAAAAAACTAAGGGTAGTTCTACTACTAGTTCTACTACTTTTTAAAAACTAAGGGTAGTTCTACTACTTGAAAAATTTTTAAAAAGGGAATTAACTACTTATTGAAAAATTTTTAAAAATCTTAGAGTTAGGGGTTAATACAGAGGAAAATTTTTAAAGATGACGCATTATTAACTATTGAACTTCTACTATTGAAAAAATTTTAAATTATCAGGGGCGGGATTTGAATCTAAAATATATTGAAAAGTATGAGGGTTGGGATATCCACAGGTAAAATTGATTTAAAAAGTGCTTAGCATTTTTTAACAAGGCTGAGTGATAGGGTTACTACTTATTGGAAAATTTAAAAACATATGAGGTGGGTGGTAGGGTAACTACTTATTGAAAAATTTTTAAAAGTGTGTGGTGGGTAGGGTTACTACTAGTGTTTCACCGGAACCGAAATTTTGACCGGAACCGGAACCGGATCCAATTTGAGTTCCGGTTTCCGGAACCGGAACCGGAACTTTTCAAAGTTCCGGCCCGGAACCGGAACCGGAACCGGAACTTTTGAAAAAAATTTTTGCTAGCAAATTTTAAAAAAATTTGTAGTTTAAGTAGGGTTGTCTGTTCACCAACTTCTTCGGTTAACCGAAACCGAACCAAACCAAGACTTTTAATTAACAAAACCGAACCGAAAATTTGTCGGCGATAAGTGATATGTATATTTGGGTTAGAGAGTGGTGTATGAACGGATTTGTTGGTATAAGTGGTGGTAATCCATAAGTGGTGGTAATTGGTAGTAATCCACATTGATCCATCCAAATCATCCGTTATATCATTCAACTTTCTTTTTCAGCGCCGCAGGCGAAAATTTTGAGAATATTTGAAGATAAGAAGCTAAATTTTTTCCCTTTTCAGCGCCGCAGGCGAGAATTTTGAAAATTTCTGAAGGCTGTAAGCAAAAAAATTCGTCATTTATTAGTCATACGAAAAATTTTAGAGGGCCAAAAAACCGTAATTACTCCATGTAAAAATAAAATAATTTTTAAAACAAAGTTAAATTCATGAAATGAGTTATTTTTTAAAAGAAAAATTTGAATATTTATTGTCCTACGATAGGGAAGCGAACCCAACCTAAAATCATTAACAACTTGAGTGAAGCCCAAACCCTTAACCACTCGGACACCCGCTCATCAGAAGGCAACTGAAAGAAAATAAACATATTTCTTTTGATTTTTTTTATTACAACTATGAGAGTACGAGTATTTTATTAATATTTTTTTTAAAAAAACTAATCCTTAGGGGTGTAAAAAAGTTCCGGTTTGGCCGGAACCAATTTGAAAACCGGAGCCGGAACCGGAACCGGATCCAATTTGAGTTCCGGTTCCCGGAACCGGAACCGGAACCAAAAAAACACCGGAACTTTCCGGAACCGGAACCGGAACCGGAACTTCCGGTGAAACTCTAGTTACTACTCATTGAAAATTTTTAAAAATGTGTGGTGGGTAGGGTTACTACTCATTGAAAATTTTTAAAAATGTGTGGTGGGTAGGGTTACTACTCATTGAAAATCTTTAAAAATGTGTGGTGGGTAGGGTTACTACTCATTGAAAATTTTTAAAAATGTGTGGTGGGTAGGGTTACTAATTGAAAATTTTTAAAAATGTGTGGTGGGTGGTAGGGTAACTACTTATTGAAAAATTTTTAAAAATGTGTGGTGGGTAGGGTTACTACTCATTGAAAATTTTTAAAAATGTGTGGTGGGTAGGGTTACTACTCATTGAAAATTTTTAAAAATGTGTGAAAAAACTAAGGGTAGTTCTACTACTAGTTCTACTACTTTTTAAAAACTAAGGGTAGTTCTACTACTTGAAAAATTTTTAAAAAGGGAATTAACTACTTATTGAAAAATTTTTAAAAATCTTAGAGTTAGGGGTTAATACAGAGGAAAATTTTTAAAGATGACGCATTATTAACTATTGAACTTCTACTATTGAAAAAATTTTAAATTATCAGGGGCGGGATTTGAATCTAAAATATATTGAAAAGTATGAGGGTTGGGATATCCACAGGTAAAATTGATTTAAAAAGTGCTTAGCATTTTTTAACAAGGCTGAGTGATAGGGTTACTACTTATTGGAAAATTTAAAAACATATGAGGTGGGTGGTAGGGTAACTACTTATTGAAAAATTTTTAAAAGTGTGTGGTGGGTAGGGTTACTACTCATTGAAAATTTTTAAAAATGTGTGGTGGGTAGGGTTACTACTCATTGAAAATTTTTAAAAATGTGTGGTGGGTAGGGTTACTACTCATTGAAAATTTTTGAAAAAATGCGGTGGCTAGGGTTACTACTCATTAAAAATTTTTAAAAATGTGTGGTGGGTAGGGTTACTACTCATTGAAAATTTTTGAAAAAAATGCGGTGGCTAGGTTTACTACTTATTTAGAAAATTTATAAAAATTTTATGAGTGGTAGGAGGATAACAACTATTTTAAAAAGCGAATTTAAAATGAGGAAAAATTAAAATAAAATAAAATTTAAAAATGAAAAGGAGGTTATCAATAAATTTGTGGGAGGTATAGTTAATATTTTTAAGAAGGGTAATTATGTAGAATATTTCTAATAGAAGGGAAGGGCAAATTAAAGAATGATAAAATTTAAAATTTCTGGCCGCTTTTATACGATTTATTCGTGCTCAAAATCCAAAGTACACACTAATAAATCACTATTGTTTATATCAAATGTTTATTGAAAGATTGGATTTAAACATTATCGGATGCATTATAAACACTTTGGAATAGTAATTTTATATTATTTATAAGTTTTTTATTAAAATGTTGATATATTTTAGAGAGCAAAGTATTTTTCTCTCGATTTGTTTAAAAATTATTTACAGTTTTTGCATTAGTAATTATTCTTTAGTCTATTTTTTAAATTATATTTGCAATAATGAACAGACATTATAAACAAAAATAGTGCAATCCAGAAATTGAACTTTAGTCCATAAATTGCACTATTTAATACACTCTGTTTTAGTTGATTCGGTTTCATTTTATTCTGATTATTCCTTTTTTTAAATATTCCTAATATACTTAAGCCTTATAATATTTAAATAATTTAACAACATTAATTAAATAAATTATTACATTAAAATTAGAACTATTTTATTGAACTTAAACTTATTTTATTAAAAGTTATTAATTACAATGTTTATTAATGTTCTTATTTAAATTTTAAAATTTTTATTTTATCTATCTTCAAAAATTTTTGATATTTAATTTTTAAAATAAATTTTTAAATAATTTAATTTTTTAATTTTTATTTGTAAGTCTTTAATTGTTAACTTTACAACTGAATTTTCATAATTTTTGATTAATTTTTAATTTTATTCTAATTTTTCATTTTAATTTTTCTATTTAACAAGCTTTTTAAATTTTTAAAATATTTAATTTTAAAATTAATATTATTAATGCATAACTAATTTAAATTATATAATATTGAACTGAAAAAAATAAAAAAAAGATATAAAAAATTTTTGAATCTTTTAATAATAAAACTTTTAA